GAATGAATATATTGAATTACACCGCAAACACTATGGGTACCACTTGGATTACCATGAGAAAAAGAGAAAGAAAGAAAGTCGAGAGGCTCATGAACATTCAAAAAAAAAAAAAAAAAAAAAAAAAGATTGGCCTGAAGGCTAAGCTCTACCACAAACAGCGCCATGCGGAGAAAATACAAAAAAGATAACAAAAAGTCAACAGCAGGACCTGAGGCCCTTGCTCTGGAGGCGCTAAGACAGATATCCAGACTCTACTGGGGCTCCAGAGGCAGACAAGAGAAATTCCCAGATAATTCAAAACAATTTTTAAAGTAGCTACAAGAAAAATAAAGTTGATTAAATTCATAATCAATTTATTTAAAGGTAAAACATGAGCTGTTAAGTCAATCCAAGAAAAAAGACTTAACATGCATGTCTATCTATAAGTTAAAATAACAGAGTTAATGGTTTACTTGCATTGCGGGATTCAGCCTACATACAACTCATGAGGAGGTCAATGCTTAATGTCTGCAGCCCAAATAACAGTTAACAAGTTCATTGATTTTGTTCAGGTTTAAATTGCTATCATAATGGCTGGGAGATGGCTCAGTAGAATAAGCGCTTGCGTGGCGAGCTCAAGGTCCTGAGTTCAATCCCCGGTACCACAAAAAATAATTAAGTAAATAAATAAATAAATTGCTATCATTAAGGTTAATAATTTTCTGGCTCTCAGTAAAATAACAGCAAATTGTAAGACAGTATGTATTGTAAGATTGCATTTTTATTTATTTTATTTATTTTTTTTTTTTTAATTTTTTGTGGAACCAGGGATTGAACTCAGGCCCTTGCGCGTGCCAGACAAGTGCTTATTCTCTGAGCCATCTCTCTGGCTCCAATCATATTTTTAAAACTCATAACAAATAAGCAAATAGGTCATCAGCTACATTCAACACATTAGTTACCTTTGAAGTCATAAAATACTCCATAGATATTGCCTTTTAATTAGAAAAGTCAATAAAGTTATGGAAAATAACAACACTCCTAGAGAAAAACAGACACTTTTATGCAAAATACTTAGGGAAATTTTCTTCATAAATTAACAAAGATAAATTTCTAGTAAGACTGATCAAGCAAAAAGTGAATGAAAGAAATTTAGGAACAAAAAACAAGCATTGTTAAATTACATAGAAATTTAAAAATAATAAGATAATACTTAAGAAATGTAGACTGGGGGTAGTGGCACATGCCTGTAATCCCAGCTTTTGGGGATGTGCCAAGCTTCATTCTCCACCAATGGCATTATTAGGAGGTGGTGGTGGACTTGAAGAGGTGGGGATGAGTGGGAGGTCTTAAGTCACTGGTGGCAGGGCCTTCGAGGAGACTATAGGACCCTACCTGAATTTTTCCCAGCTCTTGTTCCCCAGTCACCCTGAGGTGGACAGCCTTTTTTAATTTACCCTGTGATAGAATCGATCTGAGGGCCTCACTCACACTAAGTACTCTGCCACTGAGCTTCATTCCTAGCTCCAAGGTAAACAGTTTCACTCTAGTGTGGGCTACCAATATGTTGTGCTGCCACAGGCCCAACCAAGCACGGACTGAAGCCTCCAAAATCATGAGCCATAATAAGCTCTTTCTCTTTCTAAATCAATTATCTCAGGTATTTGTTATAATAACAAAAAGCTAACACCATCCTCAAATGATATGATGCCACTTCATGGCTAGTACCAGAACTTTACAATACATTTCTGCTTCTCTCCTCCAGGATTCTGTTCTGCTGTCATATGTTTTACTTTTACATCTTATAAGCCCCCAATATATCATTTTATTTTGCTTTACACAATCATCTTTTAAAGATTAGAACTAGAGTCTTTTATGTCTATCACTGTGATGAACAGAATAATAGCCCCGTTGCCTCCCAAAGATGTCCACATCTTGATTCCAAGAACCTCTGAATATTTCAGGGACCTTAGTGATTTAGATGTTACATTTTTGGGTGGGTTGAATCTAATCACAGGAGTTTTCATAGTGAAGAGAAAAACAAGAGACCAAGACCAGAGATGATGGTGTGAGGAAGACTGTAACATATAGGAAGTCATGTGTAAGAACCAAGGCACTCTTAAGAACCCAGGGCAGCTCCCAAGCTGACACCCGACAAGGAATGGACTTTTCCCTAGAGCCTCCAGAAAAGAATGTCATTGTCTCGGTTACTCTTCGCTCCTTGCCGGGACAAATACCCAACACCCAAAAGGAAGGAAAGAAAGGTTTATTTAGCTCACAGTTACAGGAGGTTTCAGTCCATACTCAGCTGGCTCCAAGGCAGAGTGGCACACCAACCTTTCATGGTGGCAGCAAAGAGCAAGAGCAAAAAGGAGGAGTAGGGGCAACAGAGAGCAAGTGAGTCTCTCTGTCTCTCTCATGTTACATTCAGGCTATCTGCCCCAGGCTGGGTACAGCACTCACACCCATAATCCCAGTGGTACTCAGACCTACAATCCCAGCCTTGGATTACTCATAATCTTAGTGGTACTCAGACCTACAATCCCAGCCTTGGATCTCCCATAATCCCAGTGGTTCATGAGTTAATCATAAACTCTAGAAGTCTGCCCCCATGACTGCATGAGGTTTTGGGGGGACAACTAGAGAAAAACCATAATCACACAACCACTTTGGAAAACAGCATGCCTATGTCTTCATATTTAAAAGGACATCTATCAATATGATCCAGTAACATCATTCTTAGATATTTATCCAAGAGAGATGAAACCTTATGTCCACGGAAACAGTTGTATATAATAGCTTTATTTGTAATAGATAAAACTTAGAAACAATCCAATTATTCGTGAGCATGTGAATAGATAAACAAATTGTAGTACATCCATGACCATGGAGTATTAATTAGCAATAAAAAGAAATGAACTCAGCTGGGATGTAGCTCAGTGTTGGAGTACTAGATTAGAGTACACAAGGCTTTGCATTGTGTCCCCAGCACTAGAAGGAATAAAGGAAAGAAAACAAAAAGTAAAAGGAACATGAATAAACCTCAAAATAACAGTGCTGCATGAAAGGAGTGAGATAGAAAATGTATACTGTATAATTCCATTTATATATATTTCCAGAAAATGAACTGTATGATAGCAAGTAGATCAGTGGGGCCGGGAGCAGGATGAGACAGATGGAAAATGTATAGATTAGGGTTCCCCAAAGAAACAGAACTAATGAGATGGTAGATGAGATTGATAGATAGGTAGGTAGATAGTTAGATAGATAGATAAATAGATAGACAGACAGACACAGAGACAGACAGACAGACAGACAGAAGGTCATTTATTGTGAGAATTGGCTGAAGTGATTATGGAAGCCAGAAAGTCCCACTCTATGATCTGGAAGCTGGAGATGCAGGCATGTTGGTAGATTAAACTTAGTCTGAGTCCTCGTCTGACAAATAAGAGAGACAATGGGATACGTCTCAGTTCAAGGCACAAGACTTATTTTTTTATTAATTTTATTGAGAAACAAATAGCAATGAGACAGTTTCAAAACAGGTTAGTAGGACAGTTTTTTTTATTTTTAGGACAGTTTTAATAATTACTACATTGCATATGCTTGTCTTCATAGTGGTTATTCATAGTACAAGATGCAGACATGATATCCTGTCCAAACACTATTAGTACAAATCTTTCTTCTCATTGAATTAAGAGAATGTAGCTGTATAACTATCCTAACTATTTTGTATATGCAGATACAAAATGGTCCTTCATTTATATCACCCTTTTTTGTTAAGTTTTGTCAGAGATGGGTATTCCATTGCCATTCAAATATTGTAGGTGTGTGAATTCAGCAAAATAATCCAATATAGTCCAGTAGTCCATAATAGTAGTGGGTTATCCATAAGACTGGCAATTTCAGAAGTTGTTGACTTGAGCCTTTTACAGTTCAGCATATTAATATGGCTTTACTTTTCATATCTCATTATTATACTTTTCTGCTATATGGTTAAGACCAAGATAATACAAGGCCTATATAACAAGAAATATAACTTTTGTATCTGACAAGGTCAGTCAAATCCCCTCAGGATTCATCCTGAAACCCTGTGCAGCAGTTTGCAGATCCTTTGTTAGTGTCAACCATGTGGATGAGTCACAGCCATTGTTTGACCAATTTGCTCTCTGTGAAAGCCTGAGAGAATGTTTTCTTTCCATGTGACTCTCCTTAGGCACATTCTACATCGTTGGTCACTTTCCTTTGTGGCCTCATAATCTCCTTGATCAGAAAATTTGGGACATCATTGACTTACAGGATGTTGCAGTACAGGTTCTTCTCTTATGTCCTGAGTCCTCACTGACCTTGAAAGGCTAGGGTCAAGGCCCAAGACTTAAAAACTTAGGTAACCACAGATATAAATTACAAAGTGTGAAGTCCTGAGAACCATGACCTCTAATGTTTGAGGACAAAAGAAGATGGATGTCCCAGAGGTAGAAAAGAGCAAATTTGCCTTTCCTCTGCCTTTTTCTTCTAGCCAGGCCCTCAGTGGATTGGAAGATGCCTACCCATACTGGTAAAATGCATTTTCAGTGGTGTGTGTGTGTGTGTGTGTGTGTGTGTGTGTGTGTGTGTGTGTTTGGAGTTCTGATAATCTAACCCAAGGCCTTGCACATGCTAGGCAAGCAAAACTCTACCACTGAACTACACCCTAGTCCTGGGTCTTCCTCCCTTAGTCCACTGGATTATATACCAATCTCTTCCATAAACACCCTCACAGATTCACCGAGAAATAATGTGCTACCAGCTTCCCGTATCCCTTAACCTAATCAAGTTGACTCCTAAAAAATAACCATCAGGCTGTGGCTGTAGCTCATTGGTAGAGCACTTGCTTAGCATGAGTAAGGCCCTGCAAAAAAAACCAAAAAAATTCAACCCCCAAAAAACTAACCAGCAGAAGTCTAGCACTTGTCTACTTGACACCAGTATCTATTTCTCAGTAAATTATACCTAATCTCCAAATAAAGGCAATAACAAGGTCATAATTCCATTTAACAAGATACCACAATCCTACATACAACCAGCAATAATTGAATCCCTGAAGCCATGTACAACCAAATGAAAAGGCACCCTCTACAAAAATGGGCCCTCACTGGACATGGACTCTTTCTTGATCTAGGGCTTCCTAACATTCAGAACTGTGAGAAATACATTTATGCTGTTTCTATGCCTCCTCATTTATGGTATTTTTATTATAACATTCCAAGAGACTACTACAGAGGGTTCACAAAGGGAGCACAAGGAAATTTTTAGGTGTGACAGATATGTTCATCGCTGCTTATCATGATACTTCCAGGGATGCTTATGTTAAAATACATCCATTTTGTATACTTCAAATATATGCAGTCTACTATATGTCAGTTATATCACTAAACCTAATGAAGTCAGGTGTAGTGGTGCATGCCTGTAATCCCAGAACTCATGAAGCTGAGACAGGAGGATCATTGCGAGTTTGAGACCAGCCTGGGCTACAAAGTGAGTTCCAAGCCAGCCTGCACTGCATAATGAGACCCTGTCTCAAAAACAAAACCAAAAAAAAACCACCAAAAACCTAATAATAGCATGTTGGAGTTCTTTGACAATACCACCAAGCATATCGGTGAGGCTTTGGAAAAAACCTTTCACACTGGCAATAGTAAAAATAGATCTAAAATGGTAGCAATACTTTCCTGGATAATTTGAGAGCGTGTACTAGAATTGCCAATGCTAGCTGAATGTGGTGGTGGTATGCACTTTCAATCCCAGCTCCCTGGCTGAGGCAGGATTGTGGCAAGTTTAAGCTCAGCCTGGGCAGCACAGTAAGACCCTGTTTAAAAAAAAGGGGGGGGGGGAGGAAAGAAGGCGGGGCCTAAAGGAGGGAGAGAGGAAAGAGAAAGAAAAAAGGAGAAAGGCTGCCACTCCCTGTGGAAGATGTGTTCCAAGGCCCTTTTTGGATCCCGATGCCACAGATAGTACCAAACCCTATAGATGCTATATTTTTTTTCCTACACATACCTATGGATGATAGAGTTTAATTTTTAAATTAGACCAGGTATGTTGGTACACTCCTGCAATCCCTGCTGATGGGGATGGGGGTGAAGCAGAATGATTGCAAGTTCAAGGCCAGCCTGGGCAACTTGGTGAGACTGTCTTTTTCTGTCTTTCTGAGACAGGGTCATCTTATACAGTCCAGGCTGGCCTTGAGGTCACTAGGTAGCCCAGGGCTGGTCTGGAATTCGCAGTGATTCTCCTGCCTCAGCCTCTGGAGTGCTGGGATTATAGGCATGTACCACCACACCCAGCATGTGACCCTGTCTTAAAAAGAGGTAAGAAGTTGTTCAGTATTCCCTGGATTCAATACCCACTATCACAAATAATGATGATGATGATAAGTTTTTAAAAATTTATTAAAGTGATTAACAACAATAATGTACTATAGATCATAACCACCTTAGCATATGATATTTTTTCTTTCTTGAGTCAGTCAAGAGCTTTTACCTTTGCACTTATTTTTTTTTTTTTTTTTTTGTACCAGGAATCAAACTCACAACTTCATGCTTGCCAGGCAGGCGCGGTGCTGCTGAGCTATAGGGCCAGAAAGCACAATTATGGCTCTTCCACCTTGCCAGCGTCACTGCTCTTGCACTAAGGAGCTGTCGTCAAATAAAACGAGGGTGACTCAAACACAAGCATTGCAACACGGGGCCAGTCCCTCTGACAACTGAGATGGTTATGAAGGGACTGATGGGCATGCAAGACAAGCGATCATTCGGGTCCAGGGCAGGATCGAGTGGGACAGCACAAAAGTGCACATTGAGAAAGGCATAATTTAAAATGTATGAGTTGTTTATTTCTGCAATTTTCCCATTAGTATTTTTGGGCCTTGGTTAACTACAGGTAACCAAAACCGTACAAAGCAAAACTGTGGATTAGGAGGAATGACTGTAATCTCCCAATTAAATGCCCATCCATAATGGAATGGATGAACAAATGTATCTATTCAATGGAGCATATGGATGTATCTCAAAAATACAATACTGGGAGAAAAATGCCAGTTGTACAATATGTTCAGTGTTGTACCATTTATGTAAATCTAAAAACATTTAAAAATAGGGCATATTATACATTGGTAAATATGTCTATAGGAAAACTACTTAAACATGGGACCAAAGGCATATACTGAATTCATGATAGTGCTTAGTCTGGGGATGGAAGGAGCTAGGATAAGACTGAGGTGGTAGTTATGTGTTGCTTCAGAGCATTATGACCAAAAAAGCAAATGGCTTAGAACTGCACACACTCACTACCTCACGGCTTCTGTGGGTCAGGAATTGGGGCACATCGTGGCTGTGCCTTGATTAGGTTTCAAGGCCTGGGAATAATTTTCCAGGGCTCTCAGTTCCCCCCCGAAGGGCCCTCGTTTGCAGCCTGAGTCATCTTCCATTTTCAGGAAGGGTAGCGTGTGTGTGCGGCCGAGCAGTTTCGCCACTGCTCTGCTCGCCATCACAATCAGCAAGCTCCCTTTACTCTTCTCCTGCTGTCGCTTTCAGTCCAAATTGGCAATATTTCTGCAGAAGTAATTTCCCTAAGAAAGTCCTGAGTTTCTGCTGGTGCTGAGCAGGGGTTCCCTGCCTTACAGAAAAGCCTCACCCCACACCTTGGCTCGGCTCTCCGGAATCCCTTCTGTATCTTGGGACACTTGAAATAGCTGAGGGACAACACCCTTGAGCTTCCTAGAGGCCCTTGGGTTTAATTTAAAGGATGTGTGAGGCACACCTTTTAAGTCCTGAAAACGCCTACTGTAGGGCAGAATACGCTGGTCTTTTGATGTTTCTGGGGTTTTAGCAAAAGGCTTTACAACAGGACCCTCAGCTTTTCCTCCAAACCACACTGCTTGAAGTTTACCATTTTTGCCATGTGCATAAGCTAAGCATTTCCCCAATCAAGTCCTGGTTCCTTTTCATTTAGCAATTTTCCCCTCAATTTCTTTCTTTCCTCTTCCATTTTATGGTAAGCAGCAAGTAAACAGGTGGTACCTTTAACATTTAGTTTGGAAATCTCCTCAGCTATACAGTTGTGCGCTGCTAATGACAAGGATGTGTTCTGAGAAATGCACCATTAGGCAGTTCCATCGCTGTGACAACACCAGTGTCCTTAGACGACCTTGGATGGCACAGCCTACCTCACTCCGAGGCTCTATGGCATAACCCATTCCTTCTAGGCCATAAACCTGCATGGCATGTTACCTTACCGAATACCGTAAACAGTCACAACATGAGGATAAAACTTCTGTTTCTAATCATAGTAAAGATACAGCAAAAATATAACATAAACAACAACAGCAAAAAAAAAAAAAAAGGAGCCCGCCATAGTGGTACACACCTATAATTTTAGCATTCTGAGGCAGAGGCAGGTAGATTGCCAGGTTGGAGGCAATTAGGCAACTTAGAAACTTAGTGAAACTCTATCTCAAAATAAAACTTAAGGGCCAGCCAAATAGCTCAGCAGATTAAAAAGCCTGCAAGCAGGTGCAGGGCCAGGAGTTTGATCCCCGGGCCTGCCATGCCAGCCCCACCCCTGGGGCATGCTGAGATGGTGATTGAGACTGGGCATGGTGGTGTGCACCTGTAATCCCAGCTCTTGAGAGGCTGTACACAGGCAAATCACTATGAGTCTAATCTAGTAGTGAGACCCTGAACACCCTGTAGACCCTTCCCTAAAATACAAAATAAATAAATAAATAAATAAATAAATAAATAAATAAATGTTAAAACTTTAAAGGGCTGAAGACACACCTCAGTGTGAAGACTCTGGGTTCAATTTCTAGTATGGCGAAAACAGATAGCCCAGGGCACAGGGGTATATACCTGTAATCCCAGCACTTCAGGGGCTGAGGCAGGAGAACAGATGCAAGTTGGAGACCAGCAGGATCACTCCGAGCTCTAGGCCATCCCGGGCACCATACATACTGAGTTCAAAGCCAGTCTGAACTACACAGCAAGATCCTGTGTCAAAAAAAAAAAAAAAAATGCAAAAGACTTTATAACTATGTTACACTTAGACTACACTAATTTAAAAATTCTTAGCCAGGTGCATTGGTGCATGTCTGTAATTCCAGCACTCAAGAGGCTGAAGCAGAAAGGTCAGCGGGGGGTGGGGTCAAAACCGCCCTGATGGGCTGGTGTGATGGCTCAGTGGTCTAAAGCACCTCCTTAGAACAAACTAAAAGCACAGGGACCGCGGTTCGATCCCCCAGCACCACATGCCAGCCAGCCCCGGCCCCTGGTGGGCTGAGCTGGCCACACACACACACACACACACACACACACACACACACACAAATAAAAAAAAAATTAAAAAAAAAAAACCGCCCTGAGCTTCTTAGTGAAACCTCGTAGAATTCTTTTGAAAAATAAACTACCCTCAGGGACTGGGGTTCTTTCAATCCCCTAGCGTGCCCTGCTGGTCCTGCCCCCGGGACACACTGAGGCTGAGTGAGGATGCGCCTGTAATCCCAGCACTTGGGAGGCTGAACGCAGGCGGATTAGTAGAGTCCTAGCTGTGTAGGGAGTCCTTGTAGACCCTGTACTAAATACAAAAAAAAGATAAAAACATAAACTACCCTTGGTTTACTGTAACTTTTTGATTTCATAAATTTTAATTTTCTTTAACGTTTTGACTGCTGTAATAATAATTTAAGATAGAAATGGATTTTACGGCTGTGCGAAAGTATTTTCTTTATATACTTATTCTATAAGGTTTGTTTCTTTTACAATTTTTTTTAACTTGCTACACTTGTGTGTTAGAGGTGTGCACACACATCAGCCCAGGCCTATATGGGGTCAGGATCATCAGTACTACTGTCTTCCACCTCCACTTCTTGTCACCACTGCAAGGTCTTCCAGTGTGACAAGGCACATGCGCCGTCTCCTCCTCTGGTGACCACGCCTTTTCTGGAACTCCTCCTGAAGAACGTGCCTGGGCTTTTCCTGAGCCAGGATTGCTCTAGCTAGAAATACGTTTCTTATTTTGTCTCCTTTTCTGTCATAGATTTGCTTGTAAACAGAAAATATGTCGTGAACATTGCTCTGTATGAATGAAAAGCTTCCGATGGAGGGGGGCTGTCCCATGTTCTGAGATCTTTTAAGGATCCTGCTAAAGTCTGCAAAAACTTTTCAATTTTCTTGGGTGTGTTTCTCCTTTTTTTTCTGCTGGGTCTTTCTGCTTGCCTCCTCTTCAACTCTGTTCATGTTCCAGTACCAACAATTCGTCAATTAGTACCCCAGAAATCACTTCCAGGAGCTCCTTCGAGTCACTCTTGTGCCTCTCAACTGCAGCTTTGATGTTCGCAGCCTCTTCATCCTTGGCAAGTCCTTTGAAGTCCCAGATGAACCTCCTGAGTGTCTTCTTCAGATGCCATTCATGCATTCCTTGGTGACATCACCCAAGTCCAAATAGGGGTCTTGATGCAATCATAGTTGCGGTAACCCTCTCAGAATTGCACCAATATCTTCTCAGTGTCTTTCTTAGTGGCGGCAACAGTCCTGGCAAAGGCTTTGCTCAGCCTTAAGAATTGCTTTTGTTCTTGATGCAATGATCGGATCAAAGAAGTGGCGTTTGGGGGGAGAAATGCCCCTCTGCAGCTGGGCTGAAGAGCACCTGTGAAAGGCAGATGCGTGAACACAAGAGCAACAGAAGCAAAACATTGAGGCCTGTTGTTCTCCAGACAGTACTGCTCCACTTTGCCAGCACGGCAAGTCAGGAAGGCATCTTGAAAGAGGAGCTGGGTCCTCTGTACTCTCCCTGCTCCTCCGGAGTGCTGGCACTGTGTGCTCACAGACTGCTTGAAAGTCCTGTGCTTCCCACTGTGCCAGGTTACGAAAGGTTTCAATTTGCAGCTTGCAACATTGCCCCAAGCAAAACTGTTATCCCCTGCTAAAGCCTTGAAACCTAGCGTGGACTTGGTTTCCTTGTGGATGGAGGTCTTTTTCAAGCAGCCATTTCCAGAGCAGGGAAGTTGCCTCCATATTAAAGTTATGCTCTGGCAAGCAGGTTTCCTCCACAATTAGTTTATCCAAGTTTCCAAAACTTTTTCAGCCGCCTGTGCATCAGCACTCGCAGTCACCACTCTCACATTATGGAATGAATCATTGAAACCAGCTGGCGCCAGCAATAAATTCAGCATCGTAGTTGAGTCCAGCCTTTTCTTCCAGCATTGCAAACCTATGTTTTGCTTCAGCTGTGATCACCATGGTGCCAAAAGGGACGCGCTTCTGTGTCTGATCTTCACTGCAGCTCACTAGAAGTTTCTCCGTATTTGATAGAGGCCCTCCTTGAGCTTTCCTTAGTATCATTGCTTGCCTTCCATTGAGCAGCTCCTTTAACAGCTTCTGTTATTTTGTTTTTACTCTTCAAGAGGCTATCTATGGTGGCATGGGACATCAGTTTCTAGCTTTGTGTGTGTGTGTGTGTGTGTGTGTGTGTGTGTGTGTGTATGTGTGTGTGTGTGTGTGTGTGTGTGTGTGTGTTTATGGTACCAGGGATGGAACTCGGGACCTTGCGCTTGCTGGGCAAGCAATTATTCCACTGAGCTATCTCTCTGGCCCTTTTTTCAGTTTCTAGCTTTGTAATCATTAATCACTTTTAACTCTGCTTCCGGGTCTACCACTTGACATGCTTCTCTTACTGGCCTCATAGCGGTGGGTTTTGGACACTTAAGGGTTTTGATGAACAAAACAATATGAGAAGAAAATCAAGCAAGGAAGTTGCAGGAGGCTGCTGCTGGTACATCCCCAGCCCTGTTTTGTTGTGTTGTGCTGTGTTTTTTGAGACAGGGTCTTACCCACTTACAATCTTGCTGCCTCAGCTTCCCAGAGTGGTGGATTGACAAGTGTGTACTATCTTTGGCCTTTTCTCTTTTTTTTTTTTTTGGTTCTGGCAATTGAACTCAGGGCCTTATGCTTGCCAGGCAGGCACTGTGCTTCTGAGATACACCCCCAACCCTCTCTTTATTTTTGAGACAAAGTCTCATGAGTTGCCCAGACTGACCTCAAACGTGTAGTCTTCTTGCCTCAGCCTCCTCAGTAGCTGGGATTACAGGCATGTGCTAGAGGGCTGGGTTTGTGTTATTCCAACTGACAGCGCAGTAGGTTCATTGATACCACTATTACCATAAATGCATGAGTACCATTTGCACTATGACGTTAGAACAGCTGTAACAAGGCAGTAGAAAATTTTTAGCTTCATTATAGTCTCCTAAGATTACCTTTGTATTTGAGGTGAATTGAAATGATTAAATCTTTAAAGTGATTGCTTACATTTAAAAAAAAAATTACTAAACTAACAGACACATTGTCATTAAGCTCCTTCAGAGGACCCTCCCTCACTGCGAACACACTTAGCCCGCCATTCTTTCCACTTTCCAAAGTCGTTCTGGAAAACGACTCAAAGTCTTGAGTGTGTCTTTATGAGGTACGATTAAAAATACATCTAATGCCATCCAATGGAAATATGGGCTTTTAAAAGCACGATAGTGGGTCGTCATTCACCTTATTCATGGAATTTGGCATTGTGTAGCTCCTCCCCACAGTCAAAAGTGCCATCAAAGGGGAACATTTTCAATTGATTTAAGATATCAAGGCAAGGGCCAGCCAGATAGCTCAGTGGACTAAAGCACCTGCTTAGGCAGACAGCAGTGGCCAGGGTTCAGTCCCCGGTGTGCCATGCTGGCCCCACCCCTGGGGCATGCTGAGATGGCAATTGAGGCTGGGCGTGGTGGAGCGTGCCTGTAATCCCAGCTCTTGGGAGGCCGAAAACAGGAGAACCACTATGAGTCCAATCTACTTAGTGAGGCCCTGAATGTGCTGTAGACTCTGTAGACCCTGTAGCCCCTGTAGACCCTGTACACCTTGTACTAAATACATAAAACCAAAAAAGATAACAGGGCAGCCATGACAGCACAACTAAAGATGCTTCTGAAAGAGGACTTCCAGAACTGCTTCTGAAAGTGGCAAGAGCCATGGGATATATGAATGACAGGAAATATTTTGAGGGGGATTAATGGTAATATGTCTTTTCTTGTAAATTTTTTTAGTTTGCTTTTCCCATCATAAATTTTTAGTTTAAATAGTCATGGTAGCATGCCATCAATCTGCACATGTGTTTTGTCACCAACCAAAATATCGTTATTGGGTACGTGACTATATCCAGACATATCACTTACAAGTTGTCCTCATCACTGCTTGAAATCATGTCACTAAGCTCTCTGCCACTCTAGGCCAGGAATCGCACTCCCTCCAGTCTCCAATAACATGTGCCTTACTTCCTTCTGAGCCATTATAAGCACCAGCCTCAAAATCCAGATTTTTAACTAACAGTTTGTTCAGTGTGTCTTAGACCTTCTCTGTCATGTGCCTTAAAATATTTTGCTACCAAATCCCAAAGTCACTTTCCCACTTTGTGGGTACATATCACAATAGCACCCCAATGCCTGGTAACAAAATCTGAATTGGTTTTCTGTTGCTGCATAACAAGGAGGTACATATTCACTGGCTCCCAGCTTACAGTTATTGTCTTGTTGTTTGTGTGGGTGAGAAATAGGGACAGCATTTAGCTAAATGGGCCTATTAGGGCTCCACAAGCTACAATCAAGATGTTGGCCTGGCTTTTAATCTGAGGCTCGGCTCCAGAAGCATTTCCTTCCACTTTTCCATGATTGTTGACAGCATTTAATTCTTTGTGGTTGTAGGAGTCATAGCAGCTTGCTCCTTCCAAACCTGCAAAGGCAGAGAGAGCGACTGGAGAGAGAATCTGCTGGCAAGATGGAATTCTGCAACGGAATATAATCATAGGAGAGACAGCTCGTCACCTTTGCCATATTCTGTCTGTCAGATGCAAGTCCCAGGTCACACACACACTCAAAGGGAAGAGAATAGGCAAGGATGTGGACACCAGGAGGTGTGGATCTGCCAAGATGGCCTTCTTTTCTTAAAAAAAGTTTTGAGCTAGACATGGTGGCACATGCCTGTAATCTTAGGACTCTGGGAACTGAGGCAGGAAGATCCCAAATTTGAGCCCAGCCTGAGCAATCTAGTGACTTACAGAAACCTGGTCTCAAAATAAAAATTTTAAAAAGAACTGGGAATGTAACTCAGTGCAAAGATTCTGGGTTCAATTCCCAATACTGGAAAAGTATTCCGAAACATAAGAAGGACACTGAGGGGGCTGCAGGGATCACTCAGTGGCCTAAGCGCCTGCCTAGGCAAGCACAAGGACCTTGGGTGCAATCCCCAGTGCTGCATGCTGTGCCAGCCCTGCCCCTGGGCTTGCTGAGCAGGCCTGAGACCAGGCGTGGAAGCATATGCCTGGAATCTCAGCACTGGGGAGGCTGAAACAGGAGGATCACTAGAAGTGCAAGCTGCATGGTGAGAACCTGTATTAAATACATAAAAAAAATTTAAAAAGAAGGAAACTGAAAATCAACATATCCTGTACAAATGATATAAAGTTATATAATTAAATAGCATAGGAGGCTAGCCAGATAGCTCAGCAGACTAAAGTGCCTGCTTACGTGGACTGCAGGGGCCAGGATTTGATCCCTAGTATGCCATGCCAGCCCCGTCCCCGGAGCGCTCTGAGACTGCGATTGAGACTGGGCCTGGTGGTGCATGCCTGTAATCCCAGCACTTGGGAGGCTGAAAACAGGAGGATCCACTCCATGTAGTGAGACCCTGTAGACCCTGTACTTAATACATTAAAAAGAAGAAGAAGAAGAAGAAGAAGAAGAAGAAGAAGAAGAAGAAGAAGAAGAAGAAGAAGAAGAAGAAGAAGAAGGACGAGGAGGAGGAGGAGGAGGAGGAAGAAGAAGAAGGACGAGGAGGAGGAGGAGGAGGAAGAAGAAGAAGAAGAAGAAAGAAATAGCATAGGAATGAAAAAGCAGGAGCTTATCTAATGGAAAATATAAACCTTTTATGTCAGTTAACCTACTACTTAGTGATCTTTCACGCTAGGAGAAAGTTGAATTTTTGTGACGTTGTTCATTAACACCTCAGCCTCCTCCGCTTGTAGTTTTGGACTCTAATTCCCTCAGGGCAGGGGAATCTATTTTTTGCATTGCTGTGTTATGAAATTAGCAGCCACTTTTTTTTTTTAATTTTATTTATTTATTTATTCATTGTGTGTGTGTGTGTGTGTGTGTGTGTGTGTGTGGCCAGCTCAGCCCACCAGGGGGCGGGGCTGGCTGGCATGTGGTGCTGGGGGATTGAACCGTGGTCCCTGTGCTTTGCCAAGCTTGTTCCAAGTAGGTGCTTTAGACCACTGAGCTATCTCTCCAGCCCAGCAGCCACTTTTATTTGGATAGGCATTTGTAGGCCTTTCTAGCCTCTTGACTCGTGCATCCAGCAGCAGCAACTTCATGGGTGGTGCTTCCCGCTAAGTATGCACATCCACAAGTATTGGTATAAAGTGAAGGATCAGTTTGGTTTGAGTGTTTTGTTCTATTTCAGTTTCAATTTCATTTTCCTTTGGCTAGGAATGCGGCTGTTTATCGGAGTAAGCAAAGTGGTACTACTGCCTTCTCAGGAGACAAATACAGTGTTCTTTTAATTTGTTTACAATCTCAAGCTCACAGTGACAAAATGGGTCTTTGTATTTTCTGTGTTTATTACATCTGTTGTCACTATGCAGGCTGCATTTATTGAAAACACCAAACATCTTGCTGCATTAAAAGCAAAACAGCATGACATACAATGTCAGTTCTGATTTAAAATTCTATTGTTTTTAGTTTTTCTTCATTAGCATTTTAATATAATTTTAGAGAAAGAAATAAATTTTTACCTCTCAAACTTCCAAGGATTTCCTTCTTACATAAACTGGATAAGACACAGAGGTATAGAAAGCATCACACTGCATTATGAATTGTTAGAACGTAGCTCCCTACCAAGAAGGGAAACCATTATTTATTTAATTATTTAATAAATTAATATTTCTCTGATGAAAAAACAAGTCTATTGGTTGGACCAGCATTTGTTCAGTGGGCATGTACTTAACTAAGCACAATATTTTGGGTTGACTGAAAGGAAGCCAAGAGCCAACTGTATTTTCTCTTGTGGCAAAAGTTGCTTGCATCTGCTCACAAGGTAGTAGCACTCACAAAGAAGCGACTGTCATGTTACAATCTCTGGCCTGCTTTACAAACTTGTAGTGGCTTAACATGTAACTACGAAGGGCATACACAGTGGAAATATACACACGAGGGAAACACACTGTGCCCTCCAGGAATTTACAATCCAGCATGGACATTATGTTAGCCAGCTTCCCGTCACCATAACAAAATAGCTGAAGTCATCAACCTCAAAGGGAAAAAGGGTTATTTTGGCTCATGGTCTCAGAGGGTTCAGTTCCTGGTCATTCGTCTGCATTGCCTTTGAGCCTCTAGCAGCGTAGTACACTGTAGCAGAATGAAGCAACTGGAAGGCAAAGAGACTGGAAGGGCCAGGGCCTCAATGTCGCCCTCAAAAGCACATCTTTGGTGACTTGACTTCCCCCCTCTAGGCCTCGCCTCTTAAAGTTGCTACCGCGTTCACAGACTGGTGACCAAGTCTTCAACCCATGGGACTCTGGGGAATACTTCAGACCCCAACTGTAGCAGCGAAGATGTACATCAATAATGGCAATATAATGATAGCAATTGCAGGAGCATTAGAAACAGGAAGAGTATTGTAAAAGCTCAAAAGCCAGCATGCATTTGTTCAACATTATTTTTATTTATTTTTCTTTCTTTTCCTTTTTTTTTTTTTTTGCCAAACGAGGGATTGAACTCAGACCCTTGTGCTTGCCAGGGAAGCGCTTATTCTCCTGGGCCATCTCCCCAGCTCTTATTTATTTATTTCTTTACTTATTTTATGTACTTGGTTGTTGCAGGGCCTCACAATGCAGCTCAGACTCATAGTGATCCTCTTGCTTTCAGCCTCCCCAGTGCTGGGATTACAGGCATGCACCACGATCCTCTGGGGGGCCTGGTGCGGCATGTGGTGCTGCGGATTGAACCATGGTACCTGCG